CCCCTCCTCCTCCTCTTCTCACCTTCCTTCTCCTCTCCTTTCCTTCTCCGCCTCTTCTTCTCACCCTCTTCCTCTTCTCTTTCTCCTCCTTTCCTCCTTCTCCTCTTCTCTTTCTTTTCCTTTCCTCCTCCTCCTCTTCTCACTTTCCTTCTCCTCTTCTTTCTCCTTTCCTTCTCCGCCTCTTCTTCTCACGCTCTTCTCTTTCTCCTCCTTTCCTCCTTCTCCTCTTCTCTTTCTCCTCCTTTCCTCCTCCTTCTCTTCTTCACCCCTCCTCCTCCTCTTCTCACCTTCCTTCTCTTCTTTCTCCTTTCCTTCTCCACCTCTTCTTCTCACCCTCTCCCTCTTCTCTTTCTCCTCCTTTCCTCCTCCTTCTCTTCTTCACCCCTCCTCCTCTTCTCCTTCTCCTTTCTCCCTGAGTCTCATTTCTTTCCGGCCCTGGAACAATGTCACCTTCCTGTTTTCGGCCCTCTAAATCCAAGGCATGATATAGATAAACAGAAAATTTTCTCTTTTCCTAAGACCCCAGTGAGTATATATGTTTTAGGCATTCCAGCTCTGATCTACCCCCACCTCATTCCCCGTGCGCAGATCATTCTGGAAGGAGATAGGATCCTGTTTTCTTTCTCACCCCAGATCCATTACCTTCTGTTTTCTCCCTGCTTTTCATTTCCTTCCAGACAACCCCGGGAACCAGTTTCACCTTCCGAGTCCATATACGGACGAAGAGAAAACTTTTGTTCTTTTCCTAAAACCCTAATAAGTACCGTATTTTTCCCCAAAATAAGACCCCCAACCAGAAAAGAAGCCCCAGCAATGGATTTTTCAGAATGCTCGTAATATAAGCCCTTACCCCCAAAATAAACCCCAGTTAAAGTCAGGCGGGCACATTTAATAATGTGTATTTCTCCCCCCCAAATTAAGACCTACCTGGAAAATAAGCCCCCCTGTGTCCTTTGGAGCAAAATTAACATAAGACCTGGTCTTATTTTCAGGGAGAAACGGGTATGTATGTTTAGGCATTCCAGCTCTGATCGACCCCACCTGTTCTGATCCTTCTGGAAGGAGATAATAGGATCCATTCCTCTTTCTCACCCAAATTAATTACCGTGCCTCTTGGAAAATGGATGAGCCCTTAGTTTAGTTTAGTTTAGTTTAGTTTAGTTTAGTAGTTTAGTTTAGCTTATTATCATTGCACCCCGTACCATGAAATCCAACACCATCTTCAGTGTACAATTTATGACTATGAAAATAAAGCACAAAACACCCATCCTTCACATTCTTAACCTCGAAGCTCACGTCCAAAATGCTTTGGGCAAATTATTATTATTATTATTATTATTATTATTTAAAAAAAAAAACCTTTGAAGACCGGTGACAGCTAAGGCGATACCCGGTCTGCTCCTGTACAAATCAGCCCGCAAAGGATTTTTTTTTTTTTTTTGCCATATTCTAGCCAAGATTTTGTCGATATCTCTGAATGCTCCTATCCTGTACTTCGACCCTGCTTTTAATGTTTACGCCACGGGAGGATTTGCCAACGATGTGGTTTGAGTTTGGAGTGACTCTTTCCCCCCCTTTGAATCCTCCTGTTCTTCTCACTTGGCTGTTTTAGCCACGCAGACACGGAGGCCGAGGACTCTCCACCTTGCAGGACGGGGACTCGCGTTCATCGCTGGCAATCTCTCGAGATATTTCTTTTTTTTTTTTCTTTTTCTGCCGCCGCTTGCAGGAGGAACCGAAGAAAGTGTGCTTTACCTACGACCTCTTCCTAAACCTGGAAGGAAACCCGCCGGTTAATCATTTGCGCTGCGAGAAGCTCACCTTCAACAACCCCACCAAGGAATTCCGCCACAAGCTCATCAAAGCCGGAGGGGTGAGTCGTTAAGGGAGGCAGTCCTTCCTAGGGGCTAGGCGAACGGAAATTGTGTTTTTAATTGCGTTGTCCATCTTCAAAAGAGGTGTCCTCTGTCTGGCCACGGGATCTGGGAGACACGTTTTGATTCTAAATCTGCCTTTTTTTCCTACAGGAGAAGAAAGGGTTGCTTCTGTTCCAAACAGCTTAAAGCCAGGGGTCTCCAACCTTGGCCGCTTTTGAAGACTTGTGGACTTCGACACCCAGAATTCCTCAGCCAGCTAAGTTGAAGTCCACAAAGTCTTCAAGCGCCCAAGGTTGGAGACCCCTGGCTTAAAGGAATTATGGACGTTTTAAATTTGGTTCAGTCTGAGCAAGGCCAATTAGATACATAGAATAGATAGCATTCTTTATTAGCCAAGTGTGATTGGACACACAAGGAATAAGTCTTGGTGCAAATACTCTCAGTATTCATAAAAGAAAAGATACATTTGTCAAGAATCATCAGGTACAACACTTAATAATAGTCATAGGGTACAATAGAATAGAATAGAAGGATATAGGAATAGAATTTAATAGGATGGGATGGGATGGGATAGAGAATAGAATAGAAATTAGAATAGCATAGAGAACAGAACAGAACAGAATTCTTTTATTGGCCAGGTGTGATTGGACACACAAGGAATTTGTCTTCGGTGCAAATGCTCTCGGTGTACATAAAAGAAAAGATACATTTGTCAAAAGACAAGAATCATAAGGAACAACACTTAATAGTCACGGGGTGCAATAAGCAATCATACAAGGAAACAGTCAATATAAATCGTAAGTATAGAAGCGACAAAATTACCGTCATACAGTCCCAAGTGGGAGGGGATGGGCAATAAGGAGTGATGACAAGATTAACAGTAATAGTAGTGCAGACTTTGTAAATAGTTGGACAGTGCTGAGGGAATTACTTGTTTAGCAGAGTGATGGCATTCAGGATTATTTATTATTTCGTAATGGCGATTTTAATTCTCTTACAATTCACACACACTACCAAGTTAACCTTGGTGGTAACAAAGTGATTGAAAAAAACCCAGTAAATCGAAAAGTGTACTCAGAAATGAGTGGGAAAGCGTTGTGATGGGTTGCCCTTTGCTTTTTGATATTCTTGGAGACTTCAGAATCAGGCTAGAAAAGGTTTAACAGATTAACAGATAATCAGAGTTGGAAGGGACCTTGTAGGTCATCTAGTCCAACCCCACCAGCCCAAGGTGTGGGGGGGAAAAAACATAAGTTCCTTTTGCTCTTTGTCACAGGACTAGAGCTAGGCAGTCCCTGACTTAATGACCGCAACTGAGCCCAAAATGTCTGTCGCTAAGTGAGCCTTGCCCCGTTTTACCATCTTTCTAGCCACTGTTGTTAAACGAGTCATTGCAGTTGTGAAGTTAAGATCGTGGTCATTAAGTGAAACTAGTTTTTGCCTTCGATTTCGCTTCTCAGACGGTTGCAAAAAGGGATCATGTGACCCTGGGACACGGCGACCGTCATAAATAGGAGCCAGTTGCCAAGCGCCTAAATTTGGATCCCCTGACTCTGGGGGTGCTACGATGGTCATTAAGGGCAAAAACGGTCATAAGTCACTTTTTTTTTTGCAGTGCCGTTGGAACTTTGAATGGTCCCTAAACGAACTGTTGCAAGTTAAGGACTCCCTGTGAAATGGACCGAGCCGCAGATAAAGAATGAACCCTTTAAACTCCAATTCGATGAGAATATTTGTAGCTTGGAGTTGACATGAGGGGTTCTTGGTGCTCTCTGAGCTTGGCGGTTTCGTTCCAGACATTTCATGACCAGGCTAGGTAACGTCTTCAGTGCTAGAAGGGAGTGAGATTGCAGGAAGGAGGAAGAGGAGGAGGACGGTGGGGTCCTTGGAGGTCTCTGACCATGGTTGTTTCTTTGCAGACATTTCATGACCCAACTAGGTAATGTCATCAGTGGTAGAAGGGAGTGGAGTTTTCAGGGAGGAGGAAGAGGGGAGTGAGGAGGACTGTGGGGTCCTTGGGGGGTCTCTGAGATTGGCAGTTTCCTCGCAGACGTTTCGTGACCCAACTAGGTAATGTCATCAGTACTAGGGAGTGAGATAGCAGGAAGGAGGAGGAGGAGGAAGACAGGGGGAGAGGGAGGGAAGGAGGAGGACGGTGGGGTCCGTGGGGGTCTCT